GATTGCTTGAATAATTAAAATTACATTCTGGTAATAAATAAAATTGTTAGGAAATTATGATTTATGGAATTAAAAGAAATATTTATAAATTAATGTTGATATGGAGAATATGGAGGATGGGAAATATGGAGGATGGGAATAATTGACTGGATTGATTGCCCGATGGATGGGCCTGTGAGAACCCTGAAAAATAATTGGAATGAGTTAATTGATGGATAGTTAAATTGTTTTAGGGAAGTGCTGCTGAAATTTCAGTAGGAAATAAAAAAATTAAATTATAGAGATTATTACTTATAGAAGATTAAATTATTTATAGAATTAAAAATATAGAATAAGATTAATTAGAGTGATAAATAAATTAAGGAAACCCTAATATAATATATATATATATATATATATATATATATATATATATAAGTTTAAATTAATAAGTGAATTAAATGACTAGTAACCAAACTAGTAAACGAAATATAAAATAGAATCCTTCAATTTTAAAAAATTCTTAGCTTAGAATTTTTATTGTTTATTTTTAGAGATTTATAAATTACCGAAAAATGCGAGGACAAAGGCTGAAAGCATGTGGCGGAAAGACAGTCCTTTAAGAGGACAATAAAGAACTGTGAGTAGTGTTAGATAACTAGTATCATCCGCCTGCATTCCATGCATTCAACGCTAAATATTATCATGCATTTATTTTGTTGAATGCCATATTATGATGCCCACTATTTTGTTGATATTAAAAATTGTTTGATTACTTGTGCTATGATATATTTGTGCCTTGTTTTGTGTGGAATTGGAATGAAGTGGGTCACATGGGTTTGTGGAAGACAGTCGGTAAAGTATCGGATCCTGATTATGATGAAATTGTGAAATTGGAACCGTCGCCGGGTAAATGGGGAGTCGGCGCCCTGGTGTACACCTGATGATATGATATGGTTATACTGGAAAAGAAAAGAGAGTGTAAAAAAAGAATGAGAGGACTGGTCATGTGAGGATTATGACCGGTCGGCCAGATATGGGGGATTGGCTCCCTTGGGTTGCAACACGTTTGAGAGGATGGCCGTGTGGGAGGACGGCTCGTCAGGGGTTTAGAGGTGACGCCAACTAACTAATTTCCACGTGATGTTGATTATATGAAGGTGATAATAATTGTGATTGCTGTTGTATTGCCATTTTGTGTGACAAACCTGCATGATCATAAAGATTAATAAAATTAATCGGTGACCAGATAAAAATACTTTTAGCATCTGTGTGATTGTGTGGGGTGAGAAGGTTATCTAACTCTACTCATTGAGTTTGGCGCTCACCCCTGCCTACCTATTTTTTTTTCATGTAATAGAAGAAAGAAAAATCCTATGGAGTTGAGACATTAATTATAGAAGATTGTTAATGATAGAAATAACGATATAAATGTAAAGGTAGAGTTCTGCAATTATATTCCAGTTGGATTGTAAATAAATAATAAAAGTCCATGTTAAATATATGAACTATATTTTGGATACATATGTGAAATAAGTTAATGGGCTTAATGGGCCTAAATCCATAATTATGAATAGAATGTGAGATTTACACAAGTTAGGCTTACTATGGGCTTGGGGGCCTCAAGCCCACTCAGGTCCTAGTGTCGGTCCGGCCCATGGAAATGGGTCGTGACAATAACACTATCACCTATTTCAAGGTAATCATCAAAATAAAAAAATTAAATATTTTTATTTTATAATTTGGCTTATATGTATTATAATTTAATTTTAATTTAAACTAATTATAGTAAAATAAAAAAATTAAGTATTTTTTATTTTATATTTTTTATTTATTAATTTATTATAAATGATTGTTTATTTATTATCATATATCCTATACGTTCTGTATCTCGTGTCTCGTATTCATACAACCTAACTTCTGGTATATAAGACTACCCATACACCAAGGTAATCATTAAATTTATGTTTCAATTAAATTTTAATTTAATGTATTATCTTGATGGATGTAATGTAACATCCCTTCCCGGTCCACCTGTTAACCCGAATGAACCGAGTCGAGACACTACAATCTGGGTGAACCTATGTCCTGTCATGCTGATATCATCCTGTATGCTACATATTATATCATGTTGTTGCTTTATACATCATTTATATACAGATATTTACTGAATAGTTACAAGACATTACATTATTTTCCAAAATGAAATGGACCCAACTATGCGCCCTGTACACGCCATAGAACCAAAATATCAAAATGAATAGCTACCCTAAAGATTGGGTTTTCAAAAAATGAACTGCAGCGGTTGTAAAGATGACTCTCGACAGTCCAGACCCAAAACCTGCGAGTTAAAACAGGAAACTCGCTGAGTAAATAAAGTTTAGTGGATATCTCAACTTAATAAGAACCAAATAAATAAACATGTAATCACACATATCATTACACTCTCATGATCTTACCTGCTGTTCATTATGTTGTATGAATTATGCAACTTTTATTAAACATCATATAATTTATAAATAATAATATCTCTTAACTGTAAGGCTCCATAAGGTTACAGTGAAACCTAAGTGATAAAAAGAACTGTATGAAACTGGATGAATACTGTATGGCTGGGCTACTATGACCCGTATATAATCATATCCACTCAACGGCCTGTAGCCAGAGTACCACACTGTATGGGGCACAGATCTGCACTCAACGGCCTGTAGCCAGAGTACCACACTGTATGGGGCACAGATCTGCTATCTTATGTCGCAACACATATCTATGTGGTTTCTACCTAACCTTAATGGAGCATATTATATGTATTTCAATAATACAATAAACATATTAAATTATTAATATAATGCATAAACCATACTGTTTACCTGTATGCTGTCTCATTCTGTAAGTTGCTAACCTGTTTCATGCTTTAAGAGGATTTCATAGGCAACTACAAGTAATCTCTAATGAGTATTAATGCAAACAATTGATAACTTGTAAAAGAACTTGCATGAAAATAATCTAACTGTTGCACCCGCGACACAACTCTTACTAATCTTTATGTCACTTAATTTATACCATTCAGATTAAGAAAATTCTTGATTTTAATTTAAGTTAACTCATAAGGTTAAATTCAATAAAAATCTTAGGCTGAATGAATCTACATATGCATCCCAACATCATTTCTAATGTAGCCTTGAAATCTGCCAGGGCAGCCTGTACATGTTTCACAAATTGTACATGTTTTCACAATTCTAGCATAACTCTTTCTTCCATAAGTCCAATTTGGGTACTTCTAAATTTTATGGTTAGCTAACACATTAAGGGTACAAGTATGTCTTTTCTAATGCACACAGCTCTTAAATATGTTGGTAAAAGTAGTCAAATATTGAGCTAAGTAGCAAACTTCCAGTCACGCTCGTAGCTTTTGGTTTCCAGCCTGACAGTTTTTTATTACTGATTTTCGTCATATTTTTCAATTTAATAAGTCCAATTTAGGTAATTCTAAATTCTACTAACGGTTAACCTAATTACATTAGGTAGATATGGTCTTCTATCAGCAATGACTCTTATTCTATCACATCTCTTAAATATGTTGGTAAAGTAGTCAAGGATTGAGCAAAAGTAGCAACTTCCAGTCCGCCCAGCTTTTGGTTTCCAGCCTGCACAATTTGTACCATTTTGGTCATATTTTTCAATTTATAAGTCCAATTTAGGTAATTTCAAAGCTCATGGACAGCTAAAACATAAAGGAACAAATAACTCTTTTATACTACTTCCTAATTCCATCGTTAAACAGGTTCAAATTCATATTCAATTCATCCCATGCTTTATCAACATTCTTAGATCTATTATTCAACATTTTAGCAATATATCTTATCACTATCATCGCACTACACATATTCCCATGCAAAAAGTTGTTAAAGTAAAAGAGATATCAAACTTTCAACCAAAAAGCTTTAAACCTTCTTTTTAGCTTCCTTTGTCTTCTAACTTTGAACTCACTTCTCCTATACATAATAACATCTTATTAATAATCCAACATATCACTAAATTATGAAATTCAAGAAATTCAACTTACCTAGATAGAGTTCTAGGCTGAATTTAATGCTTGAATACCATTAGAAATGATAGAGAAAGTAAGGTTGAATACGAAGGTAGATGAAGGAGATGAAGACGACAGTGAAGGAGGAGATGGAGAAGGTAAAGTAAAATGGAATTTTCGGGTAACCTCTGAATCTATCTGCTAGTATGTTAAAAATTATCAAATAGTACCTAAATTTTTAATATTTTACAATTTAATACTTAAACTTTATACTTTATTTCAATTAGGTCCTAATCCTTATACTTTTATTTCAATTGAGTCTACATCTTTATATTTCATTCAATTAAGTCCAATTCTTTTATTAGTCCAATTCTTTTATTTATTTAATTTAAATTCCATTATACCCCACTCTAACCTCTAATGGCTCCAACCGAATTCTGGTTCGGCCCGACTCGACTCGACTCTTTAAATGCAATGACTCGATTCGGTAGGATGTCACATGTAACTAATAGATATTATTATGATAAAGATATTATCTAAAAATAAAATAATTTATCTTTTTACAATTGCTGTCATTACAACTTATCTTCTTACAAACAACTTAATCTTCTTACAATGGCGTGCTAAACAATTGTTATCCCTCCTCAATGCTTGACAATTTAGATACTTATTATGATAAAGATATTATCTAAAAATAAAATAATTTATCTTTTTACAATTGCTGTCATTACAACTTATCTTCTTACAATCGTGCTAAACAATTGTTATCCTCCTCATGCTTGACAATTTTAGATACTTACACTTAGCTTCCATACAATGTAAACTGCTCTACTTATATATATATATAAATAACATTATTTCTTTTCTTGTTCTTTTTCTTTTTGATTTGTTTTATTGTTGGAAATCAATTTTAAAATCATCTCAAATCAAGTCAAACCAGAGGAAATCAATTAAAATCGGACCAAACCTTTGAATCGACCCCGTTTTAATTGCCAAGGAGGGGATGTAGTGTTGAACCGAACCCCAAAACCTTCTCCTTTCTTCTTTCGCGATCTGCGACCACCCTCTCCCACCACAGCCACCTCTTTAGCCATCTCCGGCCGATTAACGGCCAAAAGCTCGACGCCAGGTGCTACTAAGCTATCATCTGCGACCATCTAGCACCAAATAAGCTCCATTTCTTCGTTCTTTAGGCTCGACACTCAGGATAGAGAGCGGAAGAGAGAGAGAGCATTGATTCCGACCGATACTCGTGGCTTCCTGCTACTTTACTTCATTAGGTGAGCTCGAATCCTTCCTAACATCTCTAATAGATTCCTTTAATTAATTTTCCATTTTGATTTAGATTTTTGAAGATTGGAATAGTTAGGTGTAAATTTGGGAATTTGTCTAATTCGGTTAAACGAGCTAATTGAAGTTAAAATTGATATCAAAATTGAGTTCTAGATAAGATTTACTGTGATTTGATGTATGATATGCGAATTTCTGTATGATATGGATCATTGTTGAGATTGATTAGCCCGATAGATGGGCAATATACTTTTATGTAATGATTTCTGTGATTTCTACAGGTACATTTCATTATAACTCACAAACTTAATTTTAGTTACAATCTTGAGTGCACCAGAATCTAATTTTCAGTTCTAAATAAATGAATTTAGTTCAACTTTGAAGCCTAAGAAAAATAAAAAATGAACAACATACAAAAAGTTAATTGATAATATATTTTCTTTTATTATTGCAAGTTTGTTATTCTTTACTTTTGGAAGTTTCTCTTCCTATATTATATTAGTGAGTTCTTTTAAGGGAGATTCAAAGGAAAAGAAAGCATCATGAAAATTTTTCAACTTTTTCGGAAATTTATTTCGAAATAAACAAAAAATTAAAAACAAAATTTTAAATTATGACATTTCTCAGAAAATGACCCAAAGATGCGGTTTTATTGAAGATCTCAGAAAAATATTTTGAAATAATTGTTTTACTATGTTTGGATCTCCAAAGATGTCAATGCATGTCCTTTTGTTGTTTGTATTGCTTTCACACTTCGTCATTTTTTTTACTGTTTCATTATAAAATTTAGCTCCTACATATCTCTCTACGTGGAATAAGCTTGATCTGTGGTAGATTGTCAACTGGCTCTACTCTTAATAACCCCTTCACTTGCAGAAAAACAACGATCTCTCCAGATCTGATTAGGATAAACATCTACATGTCCTTTTTTGGGAGTATATTGGCATTGGTTGAACTTGATACTATGAATTTGGCAAGAAGAACATCTAAAACCACTTGACGTGCAACGCGATTTTTTTTTATTTTGTTTTTTGAATTTCTGAAAAATATGGATTACACACCGAGAAACGTGTTTGATTTGGAAGCATTTGTTGGGGATTTGACTGTCGAAGAGGATAACAGCAGGTAAAGTTGCTATACCTTTGTTTTTTGTTAATGAGTTGGAATTTTATGTGCTTAATATAGTCTTTTGGTTGTTGGTAGTGATGAAATCTCATTGGAAGGACTTGAGCAAGAATTGCAAGAATGCAAAAATGATGATGTAAGTTTCTTTAATTTTTCTTTTGCTATGTGAAATTCAGCTAACCTATAATGCTTGTTGTTGCTTCTTTGGGAAAGAATGACTTCAGGATTCTGAAGGCCTTGTATTTGCATATGCTAAATTTATTCTAGGTGCAATGTCCTTTTTATGTTGAATGGGAGCAATGTAGAATTTTATTGTTGTCTGTTATGGTCTATATTTCCTTTTCAAAAATTTTGGACGCACAAAAGCGAAATCAACTACTAATTCAAGTACAATAAATACTGAGTGTAATGAAGAAGAATTTGGAATTGCTTTCGATAGGGTAATTTAAGTGAGAAAGAAATGATGTTTGTGTAATCTAATAAAACAATGGCTTTTATTTCTTTTTGTAGTTATTTTATATGGGTTAGTAGGTTAGCTACATGAGTATTTAGGATTAATTCTTGAGTCTATACATATGCTTGTAATGGTTAAATATGATGTTTTCTAGTTATAAAATCCAAGCAGTTATGCTTCCTGATTCATCGGATGCAATTATCACCCTGGAGTTTGAAGCTTTTTTGCTATGGGTTATGTCCTTGATCTAGTTTGTGTCAGCAATATGTTTTATTTGCTTACAGTTTCCTCTGGCATTATGAAGATAACAGAATTTGCACTCAGTCAATGATTTCTTTGTTGCATAGGGACTATTCTTAGTTTCTCTGCATCACTTTATTTATATTTGATATAAGCATATTTTGAGTCGATTTTTATGTAGTTGTCATCTAATGGCCTCTGCATTGTGGTTTATATATTTTTCTTATCCGCTATTTGATGTAGGTGGTCGCAAACATACTGTCTAAAGGTACAACATTAAGAGACTACACAAAGGGGGTCGAGAACAATTTACGACAAGTTGAATTAGACTCTATTCAGGTCTGTAGCCTTTTCTTTTCTTAGTCCATGATTGTTCAGTGCATATTCCATCTGATCTTTACACTTGTGAAGTTTTTTCTTCTTCTTTCTCATGTGATGTGATCTCACACATTTATAAATTTATCATGTTCTTTAGCATGCATTCATGCTTTGGTAATAACATATCCAACATCTTTGCATTCAAAAGATTATATTTAGCATCTATGGTCTTATTTATGAGTTGTTTAGACTATTCAGCAAAATGTGGCAGCTATATTAATAGCTTTTAGCTATTCTTTCATCTTCACTTTTATTTAAGCCTTTTATATTTGCTTGATTTCTGTCGTTTCATGACTACTCTGATCATCAGAACCGCTATTATTTCTAACCATGCAGGATTACATAAAAGAAAGTGATAATCTAGTGTCTCTTCATGATCAAATTCGCGATTGTGATAACATCTTGTCGCAAATGGAAACTCTTCTCAGTGGATTTCAGGTATACTAGTTGTATATATATGGGGTTAAGTTTCACCAAATAGCATCCAATGGACCTACTATCTTTTGCACTCTAGTTAGTGATAATTGAGCATGCTTATTTTTATTTCGAAATCCCAAATTATATGTGCATTATGCAATTGACTATAGTCTTATCTTGTTTAATGGGACTTGAACTTTTGTTCTGTTTTTGTTTGAGGGACTCCTCTTATCAATCAAATCTTGTACTCTGTTTAGTTGTATTTTTTTTAGAACTTTTTAAATAATTAATACCAGTTATTTGCCATATGGTCAATGACAACGACCGGGTGAATAAAGATGATCATAGATATTCATGTCGAGAAATAAAAGAATTCCATACGGTACAACTCGTATTAGAATGGCATGAAAAGAAATGCAAACTTTGTTTTATTAATTGTACTTGGCAAGAAAAAATCTATTTATTCAAATGCTTCTGTAACAGTTCATGTCATTCTTTTCAATTGAAGAACAAAATAAGATCAACTTGAGCCATTTTAACTTTTGAGAAAATACTGAAGGATTCAAAGTTTTCTTCACTGAACTTGAGTGCACCCAAACCACATCTCCATTAGCTTTTTTGTTTTGAATATCACCGAGATACTCAACATTTATCAAACCAAAAACTAAAACTCTCCTTCCTCGGGGTGGCAAAGTCTACACATACCCATTTCCCATCCATACTCACCTTTGTGAATAAATAGGTCATTTATATGTCAAATGGGTCGTAACTCACCATCACCCCTTTGGTACCCATCACTGCTAACCCACCACAACAACCCATGCACCACTATCACCACCTTCTCATGCAAAATGCAGATATTTGGATTATGGAAATATTTTAGATTATCCAGCATGGTTTATCCATTCATACTATTCAGGCCTATTTAAGTGCTTGTTGGGCAAACTTCAACTAAAGCTTTCTTCTCCTTCCAATTTCACTAGAGATTTCTGACAGAATAAATATCTAGTTTCTGAAAGTAATTTAATTACTTCCAAAACTCCAAAATTGGCTAATAAGCTGTACAAATAAAGTTTATCTACCATGTTCATTTTAAAGTTTAAATGAACAGAAGATATCCCAACCATGTAATTCACAGCCTTTTTTTGTGATTTTTTTTCTAAGAAATAAAAGAAAAACTAAATACTAGAACATAATCTAATTACTTTCTTCTATTTCCCTTTCTCTTCCAAACACAATAACAAAAAAAAAAAAGTTAGATTATAAAGATATTTGCATGTTTCATTTGATGCTGAACACTTGAAGAAGAAAAATTTTGGGATTAAATTACTTTTGTAGCCATTGTTCTTCCCCTTCCCTCTCCCCTCTTCCCCCGCTGCAGGGGGTTTTTGGGGGGGAGGAGAGAAGAGAACTAGCCATTATGTTTAAAAAATGTCCTTTGGTTAATATATCGTCGTCTTTTTTGTAATTCTACATTCCATGGGCTGCTTGTTCTTTCTTGCAATTGAGTCTTGTTTCATTTACATCATTAATATTTGTGGAATTTGCATACCAGGCTGAGATTGGTTCTATAAGTTCAGATATTAAAATTCTCCAAGAGAAGTCTATGGATATGGGTTTGAAACTGAAGAATCGCAAGGTATTGCTGTTGTTTTGCATCATCTACTTTCAGTTTTTTCTTGACTTGTGAATGCTAGAAATTCTTGATAGTCTTCTACGTGCTGATGATGGTTACCAAACAACTAGTACTTGTAATCACCAGTTATTGGGTTGGCAGGTTTGACCATTGTGGTGATAGTTGTGTATAAAGGGGTAGGGATGGGGAAAGAAAGCGGGTGAAGAGGGGAGTGGGTAGGAATTGGGAGGGGTAAAAATGAAAACAAAAAGATGAATAGACTATTATATTTTTCCAATTTCAGAATTGATTAATCCTAATTGGGTGAATTACTGGGGGTGAGTTTTGACTTAGCATCAAATTTGGTAGCGAATCTAACTAGCTCTTTTGGGTGATAGTTTTTGGTGTTTCAATGGGAGAGATGGTTATGTACATCCATTTAATTGTTAAATATTTAATATGGAGGTCAAATGGGTACATGAGTAAAGAGTTATTGGTTGTTTTCAACTTTTTTGTGCCCGTCCAGATATATCCATTCAGCACTCTTAAATTTAGTCTTTAACAATGCTGAATTGAAGCAATTGAAGCTTGTTGCTGCTGTGGTTGTTCTAAGCCACTGATATGGGCTTGTGTTCCTTAGTTAAGAATCATGATAATTATAGTTTAAACTTCCTCTGAAGTATCATAGTTTGTCTATGTTGATTGTAATTTCCTTTTTTTTTTTCCCCGTTAATGCAATTTCTTTCTTGCAAAAAAAAAAAAAAAAAAAAAAAAAATCATGATAATTAATAGTTTAAACTTCCCTCTGAAGTATCAATAGTTTGTCTAGTGTTGATTGTAATTTTCCTTTTTTTTTTTCCCCCGTTAAATGCCAATTTCTTTCTTGCAAAAAAAAAAAAAAAAAAAAAAAAAAAATCAAAGCCTTTTCTCCTATGTTAGTAGTTATCTTTTATGCTTCTGATATCTATAAAAAAAAAAAAAAAAAAAAAAAAAAATCAGCCTTTTCTCTATGTTATCAGTTATCTTTTATGCTTCTGATATCTATTGTTCCATGCCTTGTTGTGATAGGTGGCTGAATCAAAACTGGCCAAATTTGTTGAAGACATTATAGTCCCTCCTAGAATGGTAGACATAATTGTCGACGGAGAGGTACTATGTAGGTTTTATTCATTTCTCTACTTGATGTAATTTAGTTGTTCATTCATCTGGTTATCATTTAGTTGTTTCTTGTGCATACATGTTCTCTTCCCTGAAATCTTGAGCATCTGTTCCAGTTTGCTGAACGTAATACAGTTTCAAGCCCAATGACAATTCATTTCTGGTTGCTGTGATTCTTTGCTTAAGGCAGTTCTTAGAAATTTTAACTGGGATAAGAGTTCTAGAGGTGGATGATTTGGTGAGGAAGTGTACTTGAGCATTAATTCTCTGTATCGGGGTTCTGGTGAAGACTTCGAATGAAGCTTACTAATGTGAAACTAACATCCCACTAGATTTTCTCTCTTTTCATTCTAGTTCTGGCCTCATTTTATGCTTCTTTGTCAGAAAAAAATGTCTCTCTAATATTCTGCGGAGATACAGACAACAAGAAGATCTAGAAAAACAAGATTAGAGGGTCAACACTTTTTAAGTATTATGGACACATAAAATAGGGTGTATTTGGGATATATAATCCCTTCTTCTCCTTTTATTTGGTTAATTGCTATTCATCATTTTTAGCCCAAGCACCATATGTTATCTAGCTGTTGCATTATCTATAAAGTTTAACGATGCATTTGATTTTATGTGCATATGTGTTTTAGTGTTATGTTTTATAGGTTACCATCGTTCTGCCTTGTTTATTTCAGTCATGTGTTTATTTCAGTCATCGTTCTGCCCCATGTGTTAAGTTTTCAACTGTATTTGAATGAACTACATTTACTGGTTTCTTGAAGGAAGCAGATGCTTAAGATCCAATATTATTTGTGATTGGTCCAGTGAATATGGAAACTGTACTGTATTCCCTCTCTTGCATCTTCTGACTTGTTGGTGTGGAATTTTTGTTCAGGTCAATGATGAATATATGAGAACTCTTGAGATCCTTAGTAAGAAGCTGAAGTTTATTGAGGTGGATCCTTTGGTTAAAGGCTCAAAAGCTTTGAAAGATGTGCAGCCTGAGCTTGAAAAGCTTAGACAGAAAGCTGTTTCAAAGGTTTTTTACTGATGTTACATGATGATTTTGTGGTGTTGGTTAATCAGTTACATACTCATCTGCCTTCTATAACAATTCAATTTGCCTTTTGGTCTCTCCAAACAATATAATATACTGATCATTTTCACTAGTAGATATCATATGGTGAATTTGATCATATTTCTCTGAACTATCCTTTTGTTGTATGATTACTATAAAATGATCGTTCTTCTCTAAAACAGTTGTGACTCATAGTTATATGAGCTCTTATTAAAAACTAGAACCTTGGTTTTTAGTAATTCAGTACTGACATTTCAAATTGAAGAATTAATAGGGAGTGAAATAAGAAAACTAAGTCTAAAAGTTTTGGACTTTGCAAAAGTTGGCATGTATTTTGGGATACCCAGGAAAAACAGTGGACGACCTTTTCAGGAAAACAGCTCTATATTCTTTTTTCAATTCACTCCAAAATCATTTCTCTCTTGCTTCTTTTTCTCATCACTAGTTGGCTAAGGATTAACTTTACAATGAACAGATCTATACTTGTCAAATGATATTCACAGGTATGATCCAATCTTAGAGGCTGACTCTGAAAAATCACAAATTTGCTAAATTAATACTTGTGTTTTTGGAATCTGGGTGGAGATGGACTTTCTCTTGATAGGTTTCAAATTGGTCATCTGAAGATGTCAATTATTGATGTGTACTTCACTTCTGAAATGCAATTTTACTGCAAAGGTTGTTTGCAATTTAAAACTTTTCACAATCTTTTTGCAGGTCTTTGAGTTTATTGTTCAGAAGCTTCATGCACTAAGAAAACCCAAAACAAATATTCAGATTCTTCAACAAAGTGTTCTTTTAAAATACAAGTGAGTTGTCTCTATAACTTTCTTAATGGCACCTGTGAAAATGGCATTGGTTCTGTCTAATGTCTTAACAAAAATAGCTTCTGCATATTTGTTGAAGATGACATAAGTGTGTTGTTTATTATAAATAATTTTCAGTTGGCACTTATATCTATTCCCTGGGTATGCATGCATGCGTTGCCACACCAGTTTTGAAAATGCAGTAGGATATTTTTCATGTTTATATTAATGCAAATCTCGAGCTACCAGTGAAGTATATTAGATAGAGATAAATTAAAGTTATCTTACAGATCCAAGTCACAAGAAGGATTCGATATCCCTTTATATGTTGGGTAAGGTCTCATTGACTCTTAAGATCTCAATTATAAACCTTTCCTGGTTCCATGACAGGTTGTAAATGTTCATAAAACAGTCAGTAGCCGTTTCTTGAGATGTGACATGTTCCACTCCTTTTTATTTTTAAATTTGTATATGGTGTGTTATTCATGTTCTTATAATTTATTAGACAGTTATGTGGCTTCATAGGTATGTCATTTCCTTCCTCATGGAACATGGCAAGGAGATATATACTGAGGTTCGTGGAGCATATGTTGACACAATGAACAAGGTACGGTTGCTTTAACACTTATTATATGCTCTTGAATAAAAATTACCTAGGATTTAAGCAATGCTGCTTCCCATCAAATCATTCTCCTTGCTTATAAGGTGTCCTATAATTATCGGAATGATAGAATCATGGTGGTTTCCTAGTTTGTTCTTCTAAATATGCCAGATCAATGGCTGATAAGTATCAGAACGAGACATCCTACTTCAACAAGCAAGAAACATGACATTTTCTAACCAAAATCTGCAATAAAACAATTCTAAAATTCTCTGTACATGTCATAACTGCAGTGAAACTTGTCATTAGCTTTTATTTCTTTCAATATATACTATTTTAAAAAGGAGAAAAATTTGGTTGCTACTCTTTGGTGAGTGGTTAATCATTTTTGCCTCATTTATATTTAATACTCCTTTTGTCTCGTGTATCACACATGATAAATGTGGGGGGACTGCCGATAGAATCCACCTCACTTTGTTCTTTTTTTTTTGTAACCTCCTTTTTTTTTTTTTTTTTTTTTAGAAACATCGAACATTTTCTAAATCCGAGGAAATACTGCAATAAAAGGACAATTCTAAAATTCTCTTGTAGACATGTCATAACTGCAAGTGAAACCTTGTCACTTAGCTTTATATATTTCTTTCAATATATTAGATGCCTCGATTGTTAAAAAAAAGGAAGAAAGAAATTTCTGGTTGCGTGACTCTTACGCTTGGCATCGGAGGGTGGGTCTATGAGTGACATTTTTTAGCCTCATTTATATATTTAATACTGCCTTTGTGTCTCGTGTATCAAACACATGATAAATGCCTGGGGGGCGACTTGCGATAGGATCCACCTCACTTTGTTTCTTTTTGTATTTTTGGAGTCGTAACCGTAATGAGTTCCTTTATGTTTTTTTTTTTTTTTTCGTCATTAGTGATAGCGTACCGTGTGCATCCTATTGTTTGCATCGTCTGCGAGTAGGATAGTTACCTGAAAGTGTATTCAACTCCAAGGAGGAATGAGACCAGACCTGGAACCCGCTCATGTCTTTTTATGTCCTATTTTACTACCCATCCTTGGTGTTTTTACTTTTCCTTTCAAAGCTTTAAAAAGCAAGACTAAAGTTGCTGGCAAGCAGCTTTTATCCTCCATTTGAAATCGTGGGCTAGAACAAAAATCAATACTAGATCAGCATGTGGTCATACGAGACGTTGGGCGATATGACATAAGTTTCTGAAGTAGTAAAATCGGCTTCTCCTGCTAAATTTTTCGTCTTTTGAATGAAGTTTTGACTGCCGAGGTTTTTTTTTTTATAAGACACGAGATCATAATTGGTAGAGTTTTAGAAGGCTATTCGGTAATAGAGTTTATTAAGTTGTTGATATAAACTGGCAGTGAGGTGTACTATGCTTCTGAATGCATAACGCGCATTGGTTTGCTTGAATTCCCACACAGTGGAGGCATAATTGATTGATCTTTAAGTTGCTTGAAAGTTTGCTTGACAATTCTGACCTTCAGAGTGCTTTTTGTTTAGACAAAAGTCTTTCTTACTCTCTTTTTTTCCATATACTTACTCACATGACAACATTATCTGATGACGGCCTGGGCTAAAAGATACATCTTGCACTCCGTTAGGGACCTTTTTTTTTTTTTTTTTTCTCTTATGTGGTCCTTGCACCTATTGTTCATTCTGGAGAGGATAGTACCTGAAATGTATTCAACTCCAAGGAGGAATGAGCAGACCTGGAACCCTCATGTCTTTTTATGTCCTTTTTACTACCCATCCTTGGTGTTTTACTTCCTTTCAAAGCTTAAAGCAGACTAAGTTGCTGGCAAGCAGCTTTATCCTCATTTAAATGTGGGCTAGAACAAGATCAATACTTAGATCAAGCATGTTCATAGTGGCATACATTAATTTCTGAATAGTAAAAATGGCTTCTCCTGTAAATTTTTCTCTTTTGATGAAGTTTTGACTGCATTTTTTTTTTTTACGAGATCAAATTGGTAGATTTTAGAAGTATGTATATTTTAATTTTGATATACTGCAGTGAGTTACTTGCTTCTGATGCTATAATTGGTTGTGAATCCCACACAGTAGATAATTTTTTTAAGTTGTGAAATTTCTTACAATTCTGCTTCAGTGCTTTTTGTTAGACAAAAGTCTTTCTTACTCTCTTTTTTTCCATATCTATCACATGATCACATTTCAACGGCTAAATACATCTTGCACTCCTTAGGATCATAACAAACTCATATAAGAGTTCTCTGTCAATCCTTTTGTGCTTTTTTGCAGGTTTTAAGTGCACATTTCCGTGCTTATATTCAAGCATTGGAGAAATTACAGTTAGATATAGCAACATCTAGTGATTTGATTGGTGTGGAGACCAGAAGCACTGGTCTTTTTTCGAGAGCAAGAGAACCGCTAAAGAATCGATCAGCTGTTTTTGCTTTGGGGGAGAGAATTAATATCTTGAAGGTTTTTGATTTTCCTTACTGGTTCTGAAATAATGATTATCCAGTTATTTTCCTGCCCATAAATGAAATTTCTATCATGATTCTTTGGCATTGACTGCCAATTCATTTGCCCCTCTAGAATTTTTCCACTGAAACTTCTACCTCTTCTTTTAACTTTTGTCATGCAACAATTTATTGCATCATAGACATACTTTTAGATCGTGATATATTTCTTTGATTGAAATGAATTTAAGGGTTTTTACTTTGTTCTGTGGGGTTGCAAATTGTAAGTTCTTGGTTCTTTTTCAGTGAATTTTTGATTGTTTTCTGCTTTCTCCCTGTTTATATGATATAGATGGTTGGCTAATCTCTGAGGAAGGGTAGATCATACTCATTCGGTTTTCTGTTTTTTTATGATTTGGATCTTCTATATTAGAGTCTTAGTTCAGAGACTCTGATGTCCACTTCAGTTGACACTTAACTAAGAGTTTGAAGTATATTGTGGATCAGTATTATACAATGCCAGAGACTGGTTGATAGATAGATAGATTAGGAGGCCTAGGTTTGCTCAGCCAAAGTTGTTTTCTCTTGGTTTGGATTGAAAACATAATATGAAATGCTGTTTGTGGTTTGTCAGAGATCTGGGATCTGACATTTAATTAGAATGGAAGAACCATGAATCGTGTTTGATCTGGATCTGGATGGAGAGCAGTAACTAAGATTTTCAATGCATTGAGGCATCTTAGAGATGAACTTTAGTTCATTGAGAAGCTTGTTGAGTTAGCTGCAAGTAATAATCGATTATGCATTTTAGATAAACAAAGGTCAGCACTCCCAATGGTTGCAAGTAATAATCTATCATGCGCCTTCTATGCACATGGCTCATGTGGCATTTGGTTTTATCTTCATAAATGTCTTTATTAACAATGCCTTTGTTGTGCAAATGTCCTGGTATTGTGTTTTTGGCAATTATTCCTTTGTCATATGGCTAGGGCTTCAAAGAAACAGGAAACCTTCATGGGGATATATGCATATTGCAGGCAGTGAAACAGTCTATTCATGTTAAAAGTTGCAGCAGGCTTAAATTAATTTTCATATGAGTTGAACTAGCTCTGTTGTAGCGCTGCATTAGAAGGATGAAGCTCATCTTGTGTCTTCATTTTAATTTCTTTTTTTCATGTTGAGAAAGGATGGAGACGTCTGGAAAATAACATACTTTTTTCCTTTACTCCCTTTTTCCTTTCTAAAAGTGGCATGGTGCGTCTATGCGTGTACCCATTTCTTGGACATTAAATGGCATTTTATTTAGGCACAAGTCAAATGCAGGAAGTAGGGAATGCTATTTAGAGCTTGTGCTTAGTATTACTGGAAATGCACTAGCAGCATTATAAGTCAAGCACTAAGGCACTTTAGCAACTCTTTCTTACGTACTATGCTTGCATTGTAAACAGATATTTGGCTGAAAAATCCAACTCCAGAAAGAGAATGAAAATGAGGGCTGGCAAATAATTTGCTTGAACTGTATGTAGATGCTAAAAATTTTATTCATGAAAAGTTAACTTTGATTTTTTTGTTTTTTTTGAGGATGTGCTTTGTGTTATGGGTTCCTAGAGGCTTTAGTCTTGCTCACTGTTGTTGTCACGCTGGACTCCAACCACCAGAGGAATTGTCCGCTTTGGATCAAGCCAATTCCATCGGAGGTCGCCTGTCCTAGACTTTCTGTTAAGTGAGCATGCTTAACCCTGAAGTTCTTCCAACTTTCTAAGCCATTTCACCAAAAGGCGCCTTTAATAATTAGTTTCCCCCTTTTCGATATATGATCTGATTCATTCTTGTATCCCGCATTCCACTACCCATAGCTAGCTTACCATCCTAGAAGCTAGCCAGGAGTTTTCTTTTACCCGCTCTCTTAGGATCGCTTTGCTGGGTCGGAATGTCACAGGCCCACCAGCTTCCGCGTTGTTTGTCCTCGAACCATACATCTACTAAAGGGGTCCGGCTTTGATACCACTAAATGTAACACCCACTGCCCAGTCCCGAAAGATTAGACGGCGAACGCTACATTCGGTACCGGAGGCTCCATTCTAACTAACGTATCAATCTTATAAATTAAATTATAAATTGGGAGTGTTTTGTATTCACATGCTTTAGCAAGCTCAATTTTTAAGGGAAACTTTTGCAGTTTTTCTGTAGGATTTTCTCAAATCATTTTCAAAATAAAAATAAAATTACTTGCTAAACTAGCGAATACTTAAACACTTCTAATTTATTATTTAATTTATAAGATTGATATGTTAGTTGGAATAGTGCTTCCAATACCGAATGTGGCATCCGCGGTCTAATCTTTCGGGATTGGGCTGTGGGTGTTACAGTTGTTGAGGTTTTAGTCCTTTTTTAACTTATTTCCCCTTCTCTTTTAGCTGCACATTGTTTTCCGGGTTAATTCAACTGTTTTCGTCAAGAGAGTAAAAATTGTGGGTGGGTATAGGATGCATTTGTTGTACATTAATTATTTATGGGAAAGAACTTTTGACAAAGTACTATATTCCTCAGTTTAACAGTGAGAATGTCTAAAGCTTGCTAAATAGAAAGAGCTGTTTGATGTATTTTTATTATTTTTATCATTCTTGATAGGATATTTATGACAGGAAATGCAACTTTTGAATTCTTTTCATCAAGTTGTATTTATCATTCTAATTTTAGTTGATTTCAGGAAATTGATCAACCAGCATTGATTCCTCATATAGCTGAAGCCAGCTCCCAAAAGTATCCTTATGAGGTCCTCTTCAGGAGTTTACACAAGTTGCTAATGGATACTGCAACTTCTGAGTATGTATAGTTGCTTCCCTCCTTGATTTTGTGTATCTATCAGGGAATGCCATTCATTTGCAGTCAACATTTTCTTCATTTTGCAGGTATCTATTCTGTGATGATTTCTTTGGTGAAGAATCAATATTTTATGAAATTTTTGCTGGTAATTATGAAGAATATTCCTTAAAAGTTGCACAAGTGTTTCCAACACTAACGCTACAATGAAATTTGTTGGAATTTAGTAGTTAATTGTGCAGTAGGATTGTGGTTTACTCTCCTTGGAGCAAGATTTATGATTTTGAAGCTTCAAACCTTTCAGTGACAATTGATTAGTGAAAATTCTGTCGTTTTCATTTTCTTAGAAAAGAAATTTAACAACTGCATGGCATCGAAGTCCATCTTTTAGATATTTCCAACTCAACATTGTGTGTATTTATATATATTATATAGCATTGATTATGTGACTACAGATCTAACACATATATATTCATCAGGTCCATTTGCTGTTGTTGATGAACACTTCAATTCAATACTACCTAATTGTTATGATGCCATAGGACTCATGCTTATGATTCGCATCATACACCAGCACCAGGTGATAATCCTTTCCATGGCTGTGTCGTGTTAAGCTTATCTCTTAAGTATCAGAACACCAATTGCTAGATCATTATAGTGCTGGCCATGATATGTTGTTTTGGATCTTGGTTATGAAAAATAGTAATAAATAATCAATAGGTGACAGCCAACTTAATATATTCTGCTGAACTGTTTCGTCTGGCCTTGTGTAATATAATTCTCTTGCTGGGAATTTCAACCTTATATTTCTTAGCCGGAGCTCAATCTATAAGTGGGACCATGTTTTGGACTAGCCAAAATAAGACGTTCCTCTAGAAGTAATAAAACCAGATGGATTAACTATTTGGGGCTGGTTGCCTCGACCTCGAGCTCTACCTCTACCAACAATGGTTGGAACAAAATTAAAAAAAAAAAAAAAAAAAAAAATTCTCTTTGCACTGGGAATTTCAAGACCTTAATATTTTCTTGAGCCGGAGCTCAATCTATAAAGTGGGGGACCAGTGTCTTTGGACACAGCCAAAATAAGACGTTCCTCTAGAAGTAAAGTAAATGACCAGGAATGGATTAACTATTTGGGGCTGGTTGCCTCGACCTCTGGAGCTCTAACCTCTACCAACAATGGTTGGTACACGAATAGATTAAACACAGAAAAAAGAAAAAAAAAAAAAAAAACTGCAGCAATTTTAGGAATCATTTGGCGCTCTAATAACCCTTGACAGAGGTAAAAAATTTAGGGCAAATGAAAATTCTCAACAATTAAGAAGACTGAGAATAGGGTGATTGTGGTTGGACATAATATAATAATTGGTCTCGAAGAGAACCTTATGAAATGTCAAAAAATTATGAAAGTTTAAGAGAAATATAAAATACATATGCTAACTAATTAGTATCCTATTTCATAGTAGTGTAGGACGAATCTGCCTAAAATTCTACGAATACTGAAAAGTTCTTCTAATTAGTAACATTCTACTAGAATGAAGGATCCAAAATTAAAAAAAAAAAAAAAAAAAAAAATCTGCAGCAATTTAGGATCATTTGCGCTCTAATACCACTTGACAGAGGGAAAAAATTTAGGGCAAATGATTCTCAACAATTAGACTAGAATAGGGTGATTGTGGTTGGAACATAATAATATAATTGGTCTCGAAGAGAACCTTAGAATCAAAATTATGAAGTATTAGAGAAATTAAAATACATATGCTAACTATTATTATCCTATTTATAGTAGTTAGGACAACTCCTAATTCTATACTGAAAAGTCTTCCTAATTAGTTAACATTCTACTAGATAAGGATCCTAAATAAAAAACGGAAAATGAATAGTTCATGATTAATTAACATACTCTAAAGGAATCCTAATTAAAGAAGGAAAACTAAAACAAAAATGATAATCTAATTTGGATGCTTCTGGATCATCGCAGCTGTGCCCAACCATGCTTGGCTTTACCCATAATGAAACCATGCTTGGCTTTACCCTATAATGAAACCATGCTTAATTTACACAATCACATAGTAACCTGTACCTGCTACCTAACCCGCTAAGAAATTCGCTGACATAGCAAGATCTTAGCAGAAGGAAAAAGAATACAATTTTCCTTCAAAATTCAAACTAACTAAAGAACCTAACTAAATCCTCAATCATTAATACATTCTTTTTTCCTTTGTCAACTTCTAGCATATAAAATGGCTACTCTACTATGGTTAATTTTCATATGGATTCTGCCCGTTTTAAGAACTTTACTGATTCACCTCTAAAATGAATACACACTTAGATTAGAATGCTTTACAAACGGTTTGAATTTTTTTTTTTTTTCAATCCTGATTTATTTGCTTGTCTGTTTGTTCTAAGAAGCACCGACACTTCTGTTTTGCTGAAGTACTCACATACATGCAAATGACACTTGCTGGAACTTTTTAATGTTGTTAATTCTGGGACATGGTTTAGGCATGTGAGGGACATTGGCATTGCAAGGACATGCCTAGGACATGGCTTAGATTCTTTTTGAGAACAATAATTTAACATATTTAACATAGTATATGTGTGTGTATATTTATTTATTTATTACCATGTCACTCCCATATTGTTAGAATCTGTATCGGTGTGTTCACGTCTGTGTTCTGTGTCCATGTCCCTGCCTTGTATAAGTTGACAAAGTAATCCATGAAGTATCTTATTGCGGAATTTCAATGTGTTTGGATTTTGTTGTATGTATGCAAATTCAGACCCAGTCTGTGTCAATTGTCATTTTTCTTTGGATTGATCTACTGCTAATATTGATTTCATTTTGCAGCTTATCATGTCTCGGCGTCGTATTCCATGCTTGGACTCGTATTTGGACAAGGTCTGCTATCTTCTTATGAAGTTAATGAATAACAAGTTTAGTAATAGTGAAATGCTTGCCTTGGGTAATAAAAGATGCTTCTACAGTATCCTTTTCCAGTAATGTTTTCCAACCATGAGGAGCCATTAATATTCCTGCTAGAATATGGATCAATTATGAACATTTGAGCTATTGATACTATTAACACATGTGAATGTGTTATTTGGAGCTTGTTATTTATAGAAGAAAAATATAGGAAAAGGGAAATAACTGATGATATGCATGCAAATGGTGATGCTTGCCTATTGCAATTTTGTTTGGGGTCTCTCCTACAGTAATTTCTTGAATGACCACAACTAATGATAAACATGTTTCTAATTTTTTCAAGTTCCTAAATGTAATGAGCAGGTAAATATAGCGCTATGGCCCCGTTTTAAGATGGTATTTGACTTGCATCTTAGCAGCCTGCGCAATGCAAATGTGAAGACGCTGTGGGAAGATGATGTTCATCCTCATTATGTCATGAGGCGTTATGCTGAATTTACAGCTTCTCTCATCCATCTTAATGTTGAATATGGAGATGGGCAGGTTTGATCCTTTTGGAATGTACAAGGGTGTCTTTCTTATTGCTCTTCCTTTTTGCATCCATTCATGTCATAAATACTTACATTTCATTATCCATCTATGCGTGCAGCTTGAACTGAATTTGGAACGGCTGAGAATGGCTGTTGATGACTTGCTCATCAAGCTTGCCAAAACATTCCCCAAGGCAAAACTTCAAATTGTGTTTCTCATAAACAACTATGATATGACAATTTCTGTGCTGAAGGTAAGGATTGATATCTAATTTCTATTTTATATATCTTCCTCCACAGGCTGTTATTTAAATTGTCTGAGAAATAATTTTAGATCATTTAGGTGCCATTTGTTTTATTAAGTCTTTCATTTTTCTTTTTTTTTTTCCTTCAAAAAAATTTTTTTTTTCTTAACTTAGAAAACCATTTTTAAAATAGAAAACAAATTTTATGAAACCACATATAAATATAAATTCAAAAAACTAAAAACACACAATTGTAACAAACTGGCCCTTGGTAATTCTTTTTGGAACAACTGCATAACTGTTATCTGATATGATATCTACGGGTCTTTATGCACTGATTTAGCAATTTTGTGATTTAAATTCCAGGAAGCTGGTCCAGAAGGTGGAAAAATTCAATTGCACTTTGAGGAACTGCTGAAAAGTAATACAGCATTATTTGTGGTATGTCACTGCTGATGAAAGAAAACTGCATGGTTGGTGTATAATTCAGATTTTTTGAATTGAATTATTTATCTGCATATTTTGTTTACTTTATTTTTCTCTAGTCTTGCATTTATGAGCATAAAAGGAAGCTAACAGGTTAGGAGAATTGCTTCCAGAAACAAACTGTAAAGGTGATGGTTTGCATCCATGGTGACAACTGCCTTTTTCTTTATTACTTGCTTCCAAAGAAAAAGCTTCAACAGGAAAATATTAGTTTTGATGAATCAGCATATTGGTTTTGGAAAGAAATATATATGTTTGATCTACAAATAGCCATTGAACATATCACTTGATCTCTATGCAATTATTGAACTTCAATTCGTAACATAAAAATGATTCTGTTTGGATTTGTTTTTAATTGGGTCACAGTTGCTAGGTTATTGTCATGATGTGGCCAGGGTTTTGACATGCTGGCCAATTGAAAATGTTTTATGATCAATTTTTAGTTGAACTAGATAAAATATTAATAATTTTTACCTGGCCATTGTTCAAGAAATTCAGCTGACTTCTCCTTTTGAAAATCCTGTTAACACTCAAATTGACTCGTATGTTCAATGCCCAGAACGGGATTAACCCTAGTATGTACAAAGTTAATGGAAACAATCAAATACATTGCGTTGGTTGTGAAAAATCATTGAGTTAGCTTGTGGGATATTTTGGGAATTGGGATCAGTCACGGGACATGTGCCTAGTTGACAATGATCCTTAATTCAATCGAGTCTTTTATGCTTTTGCTTTCACATTTGCATTTCTTAATTGATTTTCTCTACCTGCAGGAAGAGCTGCTGCTGGAGCATTTTAGTGACCTCATTAAATTTGTCAAGACCCGAGGCTGTAAGTGTATTTCAAGAAATGCGTTTTGTGAGATCTAGCTAATTATTCTGTTAGGCTGTGTTTGGTAATGCCATTATGGAATGCAATATAATGTAATTAAAGACTAATGCAAATTTAGACTAAAAATTTTTTTGATTACATTATATTACATTCCATTAATTTGAGATTTGGTTTGTGTTCTTGGTCTATAAGTAAATAAAGATTTTAACTTGTAACAGACAAAAACAGAGTACGGCATTCTTAAGCAACTCAAATTCATCATAGGACCAGTTTCTTTTCATATTAACAAGACATGACTCTAATTTATTTTAAGGAGATGACCTTATTTTGTGAGCTATGATCAGCGGAGGATCCAAGTTCTGGTTCTGAGAAGCCGATAACAGTTGCGGAAGTTGAGACAATTGTGAAGGATTTTGCAAGTAGATGGAAAGCTGCAATAGAGCTGATGCATAAAGATGTTATCACTTCTTTCAGCAACTTCTTATGTGGTATGGAGATCCTGAGGGCTGCATTGACCCAGCTGCTGCTGTATTATACCAGGCTCTCCGATTGCATAAAGAGGATCGTCGGTGGGTCTGCATTGAACAAGGATCTTGTCTCCATTTCTTCAATCATGTACGAAATCAGGAAATATTCTAGAACTTTCTAGATCATTAATGTGTACCTGTTGAGGGATGAGTTGAAAGAGTTGGCATGCCAATTTTCGGACAACAGAAGCAATAAACTGAAGCAGTTCCAGTTGAAATCGAAGCTAAGCCTGTTCTAGAATTGTTGTTGCTTTCTACGAGTATGTGGCTTGTCTGATTTTTCTAAAGATTTTGTAACCGGTAACGACATTCTTTCTATATAGTCTTAATATCTTAAAACATTCAAAATCTATTACCGTATTTCAATAACATAAATATTTAAAATCCATCATAGTTCTACATATTTAATGCGACTCGTAAATGTAAAATTTAAGATAATCAATACTTTAGATTTTTTTTTTTTTTTTTTTTTTTTTTTTTTTGAGTTGAAAGAGTTGGCAATGCCAATTTTCGGACAATCAGTGAAGCAATAAACTGAAGAATTCCAGTTGAAATCGAAGCTAGAGCCTGAGTTCTAAGACAGAAATTGTTGTTGCTTTCTACGAGGTATGTGGCTTGTCTGATGTTTTTCTAAAAAGAAATTTTGTAAACGCGGTAACTATGACATATTTTCTATAGTAGTACTTAATATCTTAAAACATTCAAAATTATTACCCCGATGCGTATTTCAATAAACATAAAATATTTAAATCCAATCATAGTTCTAGCATATTTAAAAATCCGACTCGTAAATGTAAAATTAAGATAATCAATACTTTTTTAAGGAATTTTGTTTTTTTTTTTGTTTTTTTTTTTTTTTTTTTTTTTTTTTTTTGCATTTTTTAATTTAATCATTTTCTATTGGAAAAATGAAAGTTTAAAATTTTTTTTAAAATTAGTTTTTTGTGTTTCGATCAGAACCTGTTCACAAAAGCAAAAAACCAAAATACTTCGAGATAATTTTACAATTTTATAACGTTTTAACATCTTTTATAAAATTAGTTTGTTTTTTTGTAAAAGTAGGCCATTTTTTGTAAAAGTCTGGTTAACTACAATCTAGCTTCCGTTTCTTTCCGTAAAAGAATTTACAGGAAAATATTTCTATAATTTTCTGTTATTTGGGGTTTTTAAGAAAACAAGTCAACAAAAAATATTTTCCTGGTTAAAGGAAAATTAAGTCATTTTTAAAGCAAAATAACTTTCTATTTTTGAGATAGCAAAACATTTTCCTTATAAATCTATAATTCTTTAATTTATTAATTATTATAGTCACTGTGTCTAGCCACCATTTACCATCGGCTTCCACCACTTGCCGTCACCACTAGCCACTGGCGGCTTTTTCATAATTTATATATTTTTTTGCATTTTTCTCATATTTAACAATAAAATTTTTAAATTATAAAATTATTATTATTATTCATATTTTTATGGTCTCATGAGGTAAAAACTTTAATTTTTTAATTAATTTTCAATATTACAATCAAATAACGGAAAATAAGTCATTTAGAAAATATTTTTCAAGGAAAATGTTTTCCATAAAAAATATTTTTTAGCAAGTTATTTTCCTGCAAATTATTTTACGGAAACAAACGGAGCATTATTCTACTTCTTTCATTATTTTGTAAAAAGATAACTATATTTTATAAAAAATTGGTATGCTTTGTGGAACCAATGTAAATAAGAATATTTTTTAAACAATGGTATTTTTTATCATATATTAAAAAAAATAAAGTATGAATAATTTTTAAAAATTTATTATTTTTATTAATTTGAGCTACATGTGGAGCAATGAATCCAATCTTAGGCAAATATAATCTAAGGAGTTATTTAAGCAATTACCACTTAAATTGTTCTTTTATTTTTGCTATTCAGTCTGTTTTCGGTAACAACTTTTTTAATAGTTCTAGTCAAAATGATAAAGTATGAATTAACTTTTTAGAGGTTAAGGTAATATTTTATGAAAAGTTAAATCATGTAACGTTTAATTTTTAGAGTTTTATAAAAAGCTACCTAAAAAGTTAATGGCTAAACGATGCTAAAATAGTTATCAGCGGTCAAAATAATTAATAGACCCTTAAGCTCCTCTGAACTCACATTTTACTTGCTTCATGTTATTGTAGAAACTCCCCTTTTCTTTTCGCCACTCGGTTGCATCCTCTCACTAGACATGGCCATTTCTCAGTTTTTGAAACTGGAACCGCTGGTTTGAAACTGGAATCAAACCATTGGGAACCAAAATCAAAACTGGGGCTCTATGGTCCGATTCTGGTTTCAACATTTTTGGAACTGTGAATCAACGGTTCTAAGAACTGGTCAGAACCGGTGATTTTTTCAATCGGTTAGAACTGATGGTTTCAATAGCTCCAACCGACGGTTCTATAAGAAATTTAAATTTTTACTCAAACGGCTGGAACCGGCAGTTCCATTGGTTCGAACGGCGGTTCCACTCTGTTTCAACAGTATATATATTTTTTTATTTTTGCAAATATTTTGTGCAATTTCCAAATTACCCCTCCTAACAACTATTAACGGCTAGTGGGTATTTGTAGAAAGTTGATTTTGTGGATTTAATAGAAATACCCCTTTCCATTTATAATCCCTCATACAAATTTATCTCTACTCTATCTACACTATATTATTCTATACTCTACAATTTCTCCAATTTTTATTTATAATTGTTGTCCAAAATCTTGTCAAATAATGTTTCTGAAGTCCAATCTCCAATATTTGAAAAATTTATTGTCAATTAATTTTTTCCATATCTCGATCTCTGATTATTCCCTCTAATTTTTTTTATTCAATTTTTCCGACCCTTACATATTATTATTATCCAATAATAGTAAGTAGAGAAAATTCAAGTTTCGCAAAGGGCATGGGAAATGTTGAAAAAAAATACAAAATGCATCTATACCTGCAAATAACATTTTTCCAATTTCTTAACGGTTCCAACATTGATGGTTCCGGCGAATTCTCTGACCGCGAATCACATAATTATAAAATAAAAAGTTAGTCAATATTTTTTTTAAATATAAAATTTAAAAATTTGTGAAATAATTTCTAAAACAAACTTTGAGAAAAAATTTTAAAAAAAAAGCTTCAACTTAATTTTTTTTTTCTAAAAAAAGGTTTGAACTTATTTTTGTTTTTTGAAAAAGGCTTTAACTTAATTTTTTTACATATCCTCTTGTGATTTAGACGAATCAAAATCCATGCTTTCAAAACTCTTATTTTTGTTGAATATTTTGCCTCCAAATGCTTTCAAAATGATCCATAATCATCTGCTTATTTATATAGAATGTCCCCACAATAATTACAAATTACATAAAAAATTTGTCATTTTTGAATTTCTTCGTGAAATGAAAAGCAAATATGTTGAAACTTGTGTCTTGCTCGTCGAATAACTTGTGTTCGTGTACCTTGATCTTCCTCTTGTCATAAGTAGTTTTTATTAATGTCGGATTCTTGAGTTGGAATTTTCAAACTTTCATTTAAATATCTCTCAAAATCAAATTAGTTTGGTTTCAAACCATAACCGGAATTGAAAGTTTCGGTTCGGTTCCGGAACAGTGGCCATGTCTACCTCTCACAATCGCAGAGCAATAGCGCCAATCAAATACTCCACTAGAATAGCGCCAATCTAATACTCCACCACGAACTGTTGTACCTTTACACTTATCTATCAGTTGCTTCTTTATAATTTCATCGAAACATCATGGAAAGCACAAAAGAGGGAGAATCTATTAGGTAATTTTGATCGTATATATGAAGCTCTTAGAGTGGTTTAACATTTCTTCATATAGTTCTCTGTAACTTTTCCTCTTCCATAATCTTCCTGCAATTCTTCAAGTTCTAGTTTCATCTATGCCTATCACTTTTCTTTTGTAGCAAACAAGTAGAGCGAAATGTCTTTGATTTCATCTTCCACTGTCCCCCCAAAAACAAACTATGATGTATTCCTTAGTTTTAGAGGCTCTGATACACGCATAAATTTTACTAGCCATCTTTATGCTGCTTTAAGGCGAAGTCATATCACAACATTCGTTGATGATACTCGCCTTGAGAGAGGAGAAGAGATATCTCCAAATCTTTTGAAAGCTATTGAAGAATCAAAGATGTCAATCGTCATTTTCTCCAAATATTATGCCTCCTCTCGCTGGTGTTTGACTGAACTTGTGCATATAATCGAGTGTATGAAGTCGATAAAACGGATGGTTTTACCAATTTTCTACCATGTAGATCCAACTGATGTTAGAAACCAAACTGGAATTTTTGCAGATGGGTTTTTGAAAGTTAAAGAAAGATGCGGGGATGTAGAGATGATTGAGAGGTGGATCTCTGTTTTGAAGGAAGCAGCCAATCTATCTGGATGGGATTCAAACAATTACAGGTAACACCTTTCCTTTCAGAATAACGATATACAGCATTTTCTAATTAAATAAACACTGTTTATTACTTTGAAAATTCTTGAAGGAGTATAATTTTTGATATTCGCAGTATTTCTTTAAGAAGATTTGCTTACTTCAAATGAGTTTTCATGACTTATTTTATCTATCTGTTGTTATGATAATTTAGATTTAACATAAATACTTAAAATGAAGTTTATTTTTAACAAAATATATAGTTCCATTGACCAAGCAATTGGATCCTAATTTAATTTCCAAATAATTATATTAGTTCAATTCCTACCGAAATCCTAACTGAACGTACAAAAACCAATGAAATCTAAACTTACCCAATGATAATTTGAACCAAAAATGCTAACACAGATATGGGAAACAAAGGACAAAGCAGCCCAACATTTCTCTATGTGAAAGTCTCATCTTTGCCTTTTGTGTCTCTGTTTTTGTAAATTTTGGCTGCTTGAAGGTGAATACAAGGAATTGATCATCTTGGTTCACCAACATCAGTAGAAGGAACTCAATTGATCATCTTTCATGGTTGCCTTAGTCCTTCCTGTTTCTTTTTCTCCTCCTCTTCATTGCTCTGATTTTTCTCCTTACATAAGAGCTCTAGAATTATCATCTTACAAACTTAGAGACTATTTGATCTCTGAAATTTATATTCATTATTGTTTTCCTATTAATGTACCAAACTTCAACTTGAAATCTCATAATTTTAATTCAATACTTGGAGAATTTTTAACTTATATAACTATAGTTTTTATTAAAAATGATTATTATTATTCTATTTAGGATACAGGTTGTTTATTCATTTGAATATTCTTACAGGAATACCTTATTTTTAACATGTGATATTTGTATTTTTTAAGAAGAGTTGCTTGCTTCAAATATGTCGTTATAGCTTTTACCTATCTGTTATTTATAACCTTGACAGTAATCCGGTCAATAAGTATACAATCCAGAACATGTTTGTACTTGATAGGTCAGAATTAAACCAATAGGTCAAAATTTTTTACTTGTCTTTCTAATTTCTTTTTTTTTTTTGAAGAACTTAACATACATCATTATCGTAGAGGTAGTAGAGAGAATGCTTTATATCAACAAATCCTTGTTATAGATGAGTGGTTTCTCAAATCTAATTTAAGTATAACAGAAACATCCCAAGTTGTTTATTTTTTTTTTAAATTGACCATTACAATATCAAGTTTCTGAATTGTTTCGACTAATTAATTTATTTTGTTTATCATGTTGGTTAGGAGTGAGTCAGAATTATGCGAGGCCGTTGTCAAGCAAATTTTGAATAAGTTATATCCTGCATACTATAGTGCTTGCAGCAACTTATGTGGGATTGACTCACACATCAACAAACTCCTCTCTTTCTTATCTCTTGGTTCAAAAGATGTTCGGTTTATTGGAATTTGGGGAATGGGAGGAATAGGAAAGACAACTATTGCCGAAGTTCTCCTTAGTCGAATATCTGATCAATTTGATGATTGTTGCTTTGAGAGCAATATTAGGGAAAAATCAGAGAAAGATAAGCCAGTTCATTTGCGTAAATGTCTTTTTTCCAAACTTCTGCAAAATGAAAATTTAAGCATGGAAATGTATCATGTAATTCCAACTTTTGTTCTCGATATGCTTAGACGGAAGAAAGTTTTCATTGTTCTCGATGATGTCAATGATTTTGAACAATTAGAGGCTTTAGCTGGAAATCATGATTGGTTTGGTCCCGGAAGTAGAGTCATTGTAACTAGCAGGGATAAAGAAGTACTCAACAATGGAGTTGATGATATATATGAGGTCAAGGGATTAAAAGATTCCGATTCTTTTCAATTATTGAGTATGAAAGCCTTCAAACAAAAGCATCCTCCAAAAGATTTTATAGAGTTGTCAGTAAGGGTAGTAAAATATGCTAAAGGTGTTCCATTAGCCCTTAAAGTTTTGGGCTCTCATCTATGCAAAAGGTCTCAAAAGGAATGGGAAAGTGCATTGGATAAACTAAAACAATTTCCGGATTCTAAGATTCAGAAAATCTTAGAAGTAAGTTATGATATGCTGGAACAAAATGAGAAGGATATATTTCTTGATATAGCTTGTTTCTTCAAAGGACAGGATAAAGATTGGGTAGAAGATATACTAAATGGAGGTGGTGCTGCAAGTATGGGGATAAATCGTCTGAAAGATAAGTGTCTCGTTGTCATTGATAAAAATAAGTTAGAGATGCATGATTTAATACAAGAAATGGGTCAGGATATTGCTCGACGAACGGATAGCCAATTATGGAATTCCACAAACATTTATGATACTTTAATAACTGAGATGGTAAGATATGAAATTTTTTCCTCTTTCATACAGGAGATCTATGAGTAGATATGTGCTAAGATGAAATCATTTTCTTATTCTTAAAAAAAAAATTACATAGCACTCTTTATTTTTGTCAGGTATATTATTACCGCACAACTTCTAATCCATGATTTTTCAAAACATAAATCAAAGGCCAATATGAAATTGGAGTTTGGTTGTTATTTTATCCTTGTCTGTCATTTTATGATTGTCATTAAAGTTTTAGATGTCTAAGCTTTTGATAATATTGTATGCTCATTGCTACTCACTATTAATTTGCTCTTGTTTATTAGATGAAGGAAGCAGTTGAAGGCATATTCTTGGACATGTCTAAAATTGGAAAGGTACACTTGCATCACACAGTCTTCTCGCGGATGCCTAACTTAAGATTGCTAAAATTTTATAGGTCTTGGCCTCGGTTAAAGGACACAAATATAGATGCTATATTTGAAACTAGTCAAACAAAGGAGCTTCAATTTCTCCCCAATAAGCTAAGATTACTCCATTGGGAAGACTATCCATACAAATCTTTGCCGTCAAACTTTTTCATGGAAAATCTTGTTGAACTTAACATGAAGGGGAGCAAGGTCGAGCAACTATGGAATGGAAACAAGGTGTGCTTTTGAGTATATATATTTTGCTATCTTACAAGAAATATGACGTTAAAGGTCACTACATTTTAAGGTTATATCTAACTTGATCATAGAACATTAATGTAACGTGGAAATGAATTTAGTGATTCATATCACATTTAATTATTTCCCTTATGTGGACCTATGTGTTTGATAAGTTAATTTAAATGGGTGAGCTAATAGTTTAAATAAACTATTTTGATGTACAAAGAAATGAATTTTAAAAAATAAAGTTTAATGACTAATCTAAAAAAATTAACCTTTTCTAATGCAAGTAGAAATAAACTCAATTTTATAAGTCAAAAAAAGGAATAGAAATGATTCTCTCACGAGGAACTTATTAAATTATAGTTTGTTCTATTATTAATCCAAAATCTTGTGTGCGCATTTTTTTTTAAGATTTAAAGGATTGGTTTAATATGCAGTGTCCTCAAAGGTTAAAATGGCTTGTTCTTTCTGAATCCAAACACTTGAAAAGTCTTCCAGATCTCTCTTCGGCTTCAAACCTTGAGGAGATTATCCTTTCAAGTTGTAAAAATCTAATCGACATTCCTACATCCATTCAGTGTCTGCACAAACTTGTTGCTCTTGATCTGCATGGCTGCGAGAAGCTGCGGACTCTTCCAAAACTTGCACAGTTGGAATCTCTTAGGTTTCTTTGTCTTGTTGAGTGCTCAAATTTGCAGATGCTTCTAGAGGTACCAAGAGGAATAGAAATATTAGAATTAGAAGGTTGTGGGTTAGAAGAGTGGTCTCAAGATCATAGATTTTTCAGCAATCTTGAATTCCTAAGTATTCAGCAGTGTAAAAACCTTCGAAGCCTTCCTAGTATTTATTTGAATTCTATTGAGAAACTTAGTCTGAGGTATTGTTCAAGTCTCAACAAGCTGCCAGGAATTACAGGAAATAATATAAAAGAGTTAGATTTAAGTTACACTGCAATAGAAGAGTTGCCATCGACAAATGAACGTCTCTCTTCTCTTTATGAGTTAGATGTGGAGGGGTGTAAAAGGCTCGAGAATCTATCAGTCAACATTTGTCTATTGAAATCCCTTGGAAGGCTTAATCTCAGTGGCTGCTCAAAACTTAGCAAATTGCCCGATTTACATGGTTTGTGCTATTTGAGACAGTTGTTTCTAAACAACTGCAATAAACTCGAAGGTTTGCCCAAACTTCCAAGCCAACTAGAAGTACTTGAAGCAAGTAATTGTAGGTTGCTGAAAACTGCAGTATCATGCATTAGACCCATAGAACCTGGGCAACTGAGGGGAGCTGCTTTCAAATTTAATTTTGTGAACTGCTTAAATTTGGATCAGAATGCACGTAGCAATATCATGGGAGATGCGGAGCTGAGAATTAAAGAAATAGCTATTTGCATGGTAAGCCTTTGAGCCTCTTCCTACCCATTTTTCTTCACTGCCACTAAGGCACATATATAAATCTCCAATTTTCTTGTTTGTCCTTTTCTTCTTCTATTTTCAAGGTAAAGGAATTGCAGCTGTTTTATCTTGATTTTGATCTTGCTTTACCTGGAAGTGAAACTCCAGAGTGGTTCAGCTTTCAAACCCCAGGATCTTCATTGAATGTTGATCAGCTCTTTCCATCTAACTTTATTTCTACACTCCTAGATTTTGCTTTTTGTATTGTTGTAGAGTACCAGGGTCCTGCTGTTACCCTCAAGGAATATTCTCATTTTTATCTCTTAGTTACATGTAAATGTTGTCTCAAAACCACAAAAGGAAACCGACAGGCTACAATCACTCATTATATATATCATGGCTGGCCTCCCTTTGAATCAGACCATGTGTACCTCTGGTACAACCACCCAGAGACTCGTGACCTGAGCGGCTGGCTCAGACAGAACCGTGACAGTGTCTATGAAGCCTCGTTCCAGTTCGAAGCAAAATGTGTACATGGAGGAAATGTAAAATTGAAGAGGTGTGGCGTCCACCTGTTGTCCGCTGGAAATGAGAGTAGAAGTCAAGCAACAGATGTAAATTTCATGTGGAAGAGCCTACAAAGCGTGAGAGACAGTCTGCACTCCAGACTCACAGTGATCTACGAGGAAGAGGAGCAACCGCCGACAAGATTAAAACAACTCCCCAGATTTTATAAGCTACATGGGTATAGGTAATGTTTACTTAAAAATTAATTTAATGGTCCATATATTTTATACTTAAAATTCAATCATACAATTTTATGTTCTGTAATTACTTTTTAATTTGGATTTCTTTCTATTCCTTGAAGATTAGGCTTATGTATTTATTTAGTTGGATTAAAATAAGATTAATTAGTCAGTGACAGTTTTATAAACGAAATCTTTTACATATACAGCTGTATATAGCACAAATAATCTGTACTACTTCTCAGTTACACAATAATAGAAAATATTCTCTCTTTATTGTTTTCTTTCCTTTTCTCTCTACTGTGTTCATGGTATCAGAGCCAATTGCTCGATCCAAGGAGTTTTCTTGAGGGCTTTTGATCATGATTGACTATTTTGTTGATTTTCTGTAGTAGTCTTTGGTAATATTCGAAGATGGTGGAGATTGGTGAACGAATCCGACTGGAGAAGCGAGTTCAGGAACGGCAAACACTAACTCGTTGAATCGCACTGGCTATGGTGATCCACTTAGTCTTCAAAGTTCTGATAATCTTGGTACGATGCTAGTCTCTTCTCCTTTGATTGTTAGCAATTATTAGCAAATTGCAAATTAGGTTTTATTAATAGAAGAAGAGAAATTCCAATTGAGGGATCTGTTGAATTTGATTTGTGGCAAAGATGTGATTTCATGGTCACATCTTGGATCCTTAACTCAATTTCGAAGGATATGGTGGAATCCTTTCTTTATACCACAAATTCAAAAGAACTTTGGGATGAGCTTGCTGAGTCGCTGAGAGCAATGGACCCATGGTATATCAGATTCAGAGAAACATTGCGTCTGTCTCATAGGCCAATGCTTCAAGAGGCAAAATGAGCTTTTATTTTTACAAATTATGAGGAGGCAACTTCAATATTTTATAACTTTATTTCTTAGAACATTGTTCCATTTCTTGAATTCGAAGAACAGAATAAATATCCAATTTAGCCTTTAAAATTTGGGGAAAAAAAATTCTATTAATTTCCTTTATTTTATTGACAATTAAACCACTAAATTTTATTTTAATCACATATACATCACTCGTGTCTTTTTTTTTTTTTTTTTTTATCACATATACATCATTCGTGTCCTTTTTTTTTTTTTTTTTTTTTTTTTTTTTTTGGTTAAGAAGAAAGAGAGCACTTTATTAGCAAGATAAATTGTCTTTTACAATAAGAGCTTCTACAGCTAGAGGAAGCCCAAACCAAAGTTGGACACATGCATAAGAATAAGATGAAAGCTCAAACCAAAATTGGACACTACCATAAGAATAAGATGCCTTGCCAAAACATAAGCAACTGAATTAGCTTGCCTCTGAATCCAGCAAACCGAGACATTGTTGCTGTTTGCAATTAAATGACGACAATCCGCTAGAATGAAATGCCATTCCAAAGTACCTAGAGAAGGATTAGTCAACTCTTTCCAGCACTCTTGGGCATCAATTTCAACAATAACATTAGACCTGCTACTCCCCTTCAGCCACGATAAGACCTCACGAAGGGCCAAAGCCTATCCCAGAAAATTGCACCATCTTGTTCCATTCTCGAAAAACAGCCGCGTTCATATTGGACAAGGAATTGATTTTATTTTTGCACGTGTTCAGGAGAATAAGCTAAATTAAGTTGGGAGAAAGAAAATTTTAATTTTAATTAAAATTTTTAATTTTTAATTTTGTTTTGTTTGTTTTCTTAATATGGTTAAAGTAATTATGAGTAAGCCTAAAAATAATCACGACAAGTTGGTTCATCGTGCATTAAAAAGATTAACTTTATTTTATTTATTTCTTCTATTGACAGGGGGAAGAAAAAAAAAAAGAGCAAAGTAATCAAAAAAATAAGGCTCAAAATGGTCACTTCAAGGAACTGCACTTCCAAAACGATAACATTTGGTTATAATTTGGATCTAACTTACATGTGTGCTCACTTTAACCAATTTTTTTCTAAACAAAATGTTGAGTGGCCATTTGACACATAATATGAACTACACGTGGGAACATGCAAACTCGTATTAACGCCTTGATGCTATTTAACCAAGCCTTCAAAAAATAAACTTCTCATATAACCTCTTCAGCCCAAACAACCGTATTGCTTTTCACTCCCCATATGCCCAAGATGCGGTTGCTAATGGAAATTGGAGAATCATTTTCCAAGCAACGAAGACGTACCTCTCCTTTTTCAGAAGCACCAATGTTATCAGACCAAAGGAGAAGAGTGTTGAATCTGCCCTATGCACAACCCCATCATTAGGTGAAGCCAACAAGGTATATTCGTATTAGTTTGTTGCTTAAACTAGGGATTAGAAGAGAATACAATAACTTGCTAGAGAGAATGGGCTGGTGAACCTTGGGAGCAATTAGGTCAAGCGCTTATAAACACCTCACCTTAGAATTTTGTTCCACTTTTAGGTTTGAATATCATGCTGTATATCCTGACATTTTAGGGCAAATGGTTTTTGATTTGAACCATTCTAAGACCAAAACCATCCTTAAGTTCTTGAATCGAATTTTAAGCACACCCGAACATGGGTCTCAACTTGTACCCATTCAATATAATAAAAAGGATGCTTGGGGAAATGGTTTTCTTTTATTCTAGGTCGAGCAACCAAGGAGTAGAGCACTAAGAATCCTCCATAGGTTCATTTCAATGGTCTTGCTGGGAAGAAATCAAGATACATGTAGGCTAACTAGGGAGGATTTATTCTAGATTTGGACGGCATAAATAGGATTTCAAGTTGACATGACTCTTGCCTCTGTAAACATTATGCCACACTCCTCCAAAACCCCAATAAAATAATTATCGTTGGAGGAAAATAGCCTGTATTGCTAACAGTTGAGAGTTTTTCAGTTTGGCTATGAGGAAAATCCTCTAGGAGACGAAACAAGGAGAAGCTAACAATGAAAAATCTTGTGAATATGAAATTGATTAAAAAATTTGAGGGGAAATACTATTTTCTCGATCATCAAGGAAACACTGAAGGTGACCCATTACCAACATTGGGGAAGATGATGACAATGGTGAAGGGAGTGAGCCGAAAGAGGAGGATCCCAAATAGGAAGTTCAAGAAAAAGAAACGTGGGAAGTAGACCAACAGGAGGCAGAACCCAAAGAACCAATGAAGGAGCCGGAAGAAGAAAAAGAAGTTGAGGATGACTTGAAGGTAATGATGGAGGCTATAGAAGCTAGAATAGCTTACATCGAGATGAAACTCAACCATTTTGAAGAAATTCATGCTAAGGCAATTGGTTGAGTCCCAAGGATTGAGTGCCCGAGCCCCGACATTTCCTTGACAAAACCCTCTAGCTCCTCAACTTCAGTCACCCAACTTTCAAAAATCAATTGTTTATACATCCTTGGAGATCCTAGTTAGCTTAGTTTGTGTGTTTAACCCTTTTTATTTTTATTTTTTTTTTTGTTTTCTTTTATTTTTTGTTTTGTAAGAATTTTATTTAGTAAATCGGTTTTCTTTATTTAACCCGTTTAGTAATTATCGGAAAAGGTTCTCTTACTTTGGTAAGAATTTTATTTTTGGAATCACCACCCTTATTAGAGAAAATTCTCGAGTTAGAATCGACTAACTCGGATTTAAACTAGAGACGGGGTCCGGGAGTTAGGTACACATGGGAAGGTGTTAGCCACCCATATCGCCCGGTTAAGGAAATTCTTGAAATTTCAAAACTCAATCTAAGAAATCAAAGGAAATTATTGTTTCTCTTTGTTTTAAGATTGTGATCCATCGATTCTTTAATCAAAAACCCTTGAGAATATACTAAAAATCCCAAAAACACGTTCTTAATTTTCAAACTCGGATCGTTGGATCAAGGACTAAGGAGTTGGGTTCCTTCATCCATTGCTATTCAATCTTCAAAGGAATCTCTAAGTGGTAATTTTTGAGAACCTTAAACTCGTTTCTCCATCTTTTTCTTTTCTTTTTGGCATTTTAAACATTTGTTCTAGGTCTGGTTGTGAGGGAAACCCAAGATCAACCACAAAAGGGTTTCTGTGCCTCTGTGGCGCGCGACCTAAGCTAATGGCATAAGCCACTACGTGTGGCGTGCGCCACATGGGCCCAGGTTCCCCTATTCATGCTATAAGCATTTCTGATTTGGGAAAGGCCCTGCGCCATTATGTGTGGCATGCGTCACATCCTTGTGACGCACGCCATAGCTCCCTGTGGTGCAAGGCCCTTCGATTCAGAGGCTTTGAATGTATAGGAACTCAATAAATGTCTCGATTCGGAGATCTAGTGACCTAGCTCCAATCCTAAAGGGCTTGGGTCGCGTATTTGGTCACAAATGGATCAAATAAATATTAAAATAAGGTTGAGGGCTGTGATTGATAGATTTGTTCAACTTTTTGGATGAACCTCAAGATCATGAGCTTAAACCTTGATTAACCTTTAATTTTTGCCCTTTGATTACGGTTCTTTACATTACAGGCATTTTACTTTTCTATCATTCAATTTCACGTTCTCTAATTTAACGCTTTATAATTATTATTGTGCTAACCCCTTTATTTATTAATCTTTTACCTTTAACATGCATCATATTTTCATTTTAATGAATGTGTGATCGTGAGTGGTTAGGAATGTATGTTCTATTACCCTGTTAATATTGTTTGTCTTTGTTTGTTGGGATCTTTCATTTCTTGATGTATTTTATTAACTATTGTTGCAAAATGTAAGAGATCCTAATGGATCTCATTAAAGCTTGTTGTAATATTAAATTGGGTTTGGGAAATTTGGAGGGGTGAGGGTAGATTGTGTTATTAGGATGGTTTTGTAACTTTTTTTCTCCTCCCTCCTTCTTTGTGTATGCTTTATTCCTCCCTCCTTCTTTGTGTATGCTTTATATTTCATGTTTATTATGCTTACAATAATTTGTGTGAATGACATAGTTTTCTAAAAATTGCATTAAAATTGTTTTACATCTCAATTATAAGTTAATCTCATTATTAATTACTACGAATTTTTGGACAACGTGGAGGCAAGTTTAACAGGGCAAAATAGTCGACTTAACACCTTCCTATTTCGTACCTAACTCCCGAACTCGTCTCTAGTTTAAAACTGGATTAGTCGATTCTAAAGAATCGACTAATTAGAGAATTTTTAGAGAATTTTCCCTTAAATATGGGTGACAACTTCAGAAATAAAATCATACCAAAGTAAGAGAACCTTCTTCGAGGATTAAACGAGTTTAATAAAGAAACCATTTTGGATTAAATAAAATCAATCCAAGCACAATTCGGTTCGGTTCTTTTCAAAATCATTTTTGGGAAAAACCACGCGTCCTCATACCAAAGTAAAGAGAACCTTTTTCGAAGGATTAAACGAGTTTAATAAAGAAAACAAGAAAACCATTTTGATAAATAAAATCAATCAAGCCCATTCGGTTCGGTTCTTTTCAAATCACTTTTGGGAAAACCACGCGTCCTCAGCCTGGTGACTCCATCGGGGATCGAACCCAGAATCTTTGATTTTCGGTTTTCGAATAAGAGAGTTGACTCCAAAAGTTGTTCAACTATTCGAAATCTTTAATAATGTTAGTAATTTCAAATTGAGTTTACTTTTCGTACTTATAAATGTCATTCGTGCATTTATTCTTTTCTTAATCTCCTTTCTACCCTAAACCCTAAAGGCGGTATTGGGGGTTATGATATTTTCACTCTACTCGATTGTTTAGATCCGTCACTAATATACACCACCTATAAGTCAAGTACCATTTGATATATCAAAAGAATTGGCACAATCCATTGTCACCATTATGCTTAGACCCAAAGCAAGTGGGAGGAAACAATCAATTCTCGCTTATGGAACCCAAAACTTGTTGGCTCAAGGGTCAATTTCTAATCTCGGATTTTGATGATTAATACAAAACAAATAAATTTAAAATTATGTTATTTGTGCTAATATTTTTATGTAATTTTTTATGCATGAATGGTGTATGGAAATTTAAATCAATACAAGATGTCAAGTAT